TCAAATCTGTATGCTTCGCTTTGCTTGCAGGTAGCCGATGGATCCCCGGGGCCGTGGCGAGGAGAAGCCTTCAAACTAGTGTCTGAAAAGGCCACCGAAAGGGTGGAGGGGTTAAAAGGGTGGAGGGGCGAAGATGCTCGCCTCCCACTGGGAGGGTTGAGAGTTCAATCATAGATATTTCTCTCTCCTAGGGCGGAAAGAAAAAATATCTGCTCTGAACTCCGCATAGGCGTCAGGAAGGGCATCCAGCAAGTAAATGCTCAGCTCCATCCAGTCGCCCCGACTTTACCCCAAATTAAGGGATTATGGGGTCGTAAAAAGGAGTTTATATATATTCCTGTTTTGTAATCCTTCAGGTAGCCACCACTATTCAAAGAAGCTGGTGATGCTGTCTGTGGTTGTTTAATGCTGGGATAAAGATTATCTTTGATCAAAAGCTGCTGAAATGGATCCTGGCGCTCAACTCTCATTTGCTATATTTCTGCCAAAGCTGCTACCTTTTCCTATGTCTTTGCACTCGAGTTGGTTTCATCGCCTTGACCACTTTCTGTTTCCAAAGCAAGCTGACTTCACTATAGCAAAAGAGCAGCATCCATATCCTTAATTCTCTGTGTTGTCTTTTTTCTTTTCCCCCTTTTTCTTTTAAACCCTTTCTTTTTAGATTGAGCTTCAGGGGGACAAGATGGACTTGACGAGAGAAAAATATCAGTCAGCCCAGGAAGAGAATAAGCAGCTGACTCTGAAGTTGGAGGAGATGGAGAGGTTAGGAAGAGTGGGGTGATACTCGAGGGTGTAGGAAGACATCACGTTGGTTTAACTGGCATTTCTTAAAAAATTCTACGTTTTTGAGGAACGTGCTTCTCTAACAGCATTTGATACCTTCAGTTGTTTAATTACTGGGATCAAAAACATCGTGATCCATCAAGATCATCTCTTTGGTTTAATTTGGGAGTCTCCTGACGTGGCAACTTTTAAGACTGGTGGACTTCAACTTCCAGAATTCCCCAGCCAGCGTGCTTGTTGTTGAGTTGAAGTCCACCAATCTTAAAAGCTTGCCAAGTTTGGAGAACCCCGGTCAGAAAAGAAAAAGTATTGATCCTCTACTAATGATATGTTGGAGCCACAGCTACCCATAAATCACCTGTGGTTGCACTTTAGGAAACTTGAAGCGACAAGTGGGCAGAACGTAGAATTTCTCCAGATCATTGCCAAAAGGGAAGAATCCATCCACCAGGCTCAGCTCCGGTTAGAGGAGAAGACCAGGGAGTGTGGGTCCTTGGCACGCCAGCTGGAGATGGCCATTGATGACGCCAAGAAGCAGGTTGGTCCCTCCTTGGGGATGGAGTAGGATAGCTGGATCTTCCAAGTCATTGAAGAGCTGATTGTAGAAGTTGTAACAAGGAGAAGATTGCGGTGATAACTCCATCCCATCTTCCTTCCAGAAAAATCTTGAGTGTTCCTTGATTAATCCAACACCCTAATGTTGGCCTTTGAGAGAAAGCCAACAACTCTTAAGATCGATCATAATTAAGCAAGGATCCTCATTTGAAGATGGAAAGGGACTGTCCTGCCCTTTTTTTCTGGGATAGAAAGTAGTGGAGATGGTGATCCTGATTACTCTCCTTCTGCCTTTAGTTGGAGCAAACAAGGGATCGTGCGGCAGTAAGAGAGAGGACCGCCCAGTCAAAGATGCTGGACTTGGAAACTCAGCTGAGCAAGACAAAGACAGAGCTGAATCAGCTACGACGTGGTAAAGATGATGTAAGTAGCCTACAATAGAGGTCCTCCATGTTAGAAAGCCTAGCCTGGCTGTTCTACACAAGGAAGACATATAGATTCAGTGGTGGCCTCTGCTGGGCATGTACAAGTTCTAATTTTTTGACCAATGGGTTTGCTTGTGTTAAAAATTCTGTTTATATATCGCATCACAGAGCAAACAAAGTACAGTCACCATGTGCTTTACTGCTCAACAATTTTACTGCAACAGAAACTACTTAGAACCACAAAGCAAAGAGTATATGCCAGGGGTCTTCAAACTTGGCCCTTTGATGACTGGTGGACTTCAACTCCCAGAATTCCTCAGCCAGGCACGCTGGCTGAGGAATTCTGGGAGTTGAAGTCCACAAGTCATCAAAGGGCCAAGTTGAAAGACCTTTGGTATAGGGGCCATAGTTCCCCCATGCTGGCTGAGGAATTCTGGGAGTTGAAGTCCACAAGTCATAAAGGGGCCATAGTTCCCCCATGCTGGCTGAGGAATTCTGGGAGTTGAAGTCCACAAGTCATCAAAGGGCCAAGTTGGAAGACCCCTGCCCTAGTCCATCCATCCCAAGGTGAATTCTCAGGGAATTCTTTTTCTCTGGGAAAAAAAAAAGCAAAAGGTAGAGAGGGAAGCCTTTGGCCACTCCATTTTTGAACGGGCGTTTTGCCGCCTCGGGGAAGGGAAAGGACATCGAGGCTCACCACCCTTTCTCTTCTCACACAGGCCGAGCGCCGCTTTCAAAGCCGTTTGCAGGACCTGAAAGATCGGCTAGAACAGTCGGAAAGCACCAACCGCAGCATGCAGAACTACGTGCAGTTCCTCAAGTTTTCGTACGCCAACGTCTTCGGAGACAGCATTTTGTCCAGTTCCCCCATTCGACCCCGGTCTCCTCTGTAGCCATTTCTTGGTGCTCTCTGCCCCGGGCTCAGACAGAGGGAGGAGGCACCTAACGAGCTACCAAGCCATAATCCTGATTCTGGAACTGTGTCTCTCAGAATCCACTTCCTACTGTTGGAAAAAGGGAGGTGTCTTGCAGAGGAGGGGGCAAGCCTGTTCCCCCCCCCCTCCAAGCGTTGCCAAGACTTCTAGTGCCTTAACCCAGCTTACGTCATTTTGCAGTAACCCTGCATGGTTTTTAATCAACTTTTTTTAAAAAAAATCTTTTCCGAAGTTTTGTATTAACATTTGGGAATTGCTTTATTCGACGATCCCTCCGGTTTCAAAGATCATGTGCGAAACCAGTGGGATTGTTTCTTTGTCAAGTTGTTAGCAATTGTGTGCGGTTTTCTTCCTGGAACCAGGTGTGTGTAGGTCTGCGTGTTGTGTGATAAAATATATATATTTTTTTACCCAGTGCTATTTCATACGAGTGATACTATCATTACACATGTGGAACCACAGTTATGAGAGAATATATATGTGTGTGTAAGATATCCTGTTTTTATGGCACAATTCTTAACTTTTATTTTGATTTATTTTGTAGGAGTGACTAGGTTGTGCATTTAGTACATTTTTTTTCATGTAAAGCAATGATTATTCTCTTGGTTAAATATCACTCTGATCAGTTTTTCTCCAACTGATTGAAGGAACAATTGCAAATGTTCAGGATAATATCTTAACTTTTATATTAACCAGGAAATTTCAATTCTGGAGCAGGTTTCACTTTTTCCTTGATTACATTAGAGAAACCCATTTCCTTTGCAGAATGTAAAACATGGTCTTTCTACCATGTTTTATGCTTTGATGACATTTTGTTCTTTGTGTGGGGGGAGGGGGCAAGGAATCAACCAACGGAGGCAACGCTGATTTTTAATATTTATGTGTGAGACCATAACATTGCCTTGAAAAGTTTTAAAAGATTCAAATTAAACGTGTGACTTTTTTTAAATGTAAAAAGATAACTATGCCAAAGCTTTTTTTCCTCTCTCTTGAAATATCTTAGTTTTTAATTTTTATTTGTGGGTGTGCTTTTATTTTTTTTTGCACAAAAGACAACCTAATGTTAAGCTGTCTGGGCTGAGCTTCTGAATTTTCCATTAGAAATACACCTTTTCTGGTGCACTTTTCTGAATAATGTGAATTGGATTAAGTGTGGCTAGGAAGAAGATCCATTTGTCTCCTTGATAGATGGATCCTCTTCCTTGTTGTTGTTGTGGTTAGTTGCGAAGTCGTGTCCGACCCATCGCGACCCCATGGACAATGTTCTCCAGGCCTTCGTGTCCTCTATCATCTGAAGTCCATTGAAGCTCACGCCTACTGCTTCAGTGACTCCATCCAGCCACCTTATTCTCTGTCATCTCCTTTTTCTCTTGCCCTCCATCTTTCCCAGCATCAGGCTCTTCTCCAGCGAGTCCTTCCTTCTCATTAGGTGGCCAAAGTCCTTGAGTTTCAACTTCAGGATCTGGCCTCCTAAAGAGCAGTCCTCTTCCTAGCCACACTTAATCCATTTCACAAATCCAACATATTTGGGTCCAATTATAATCTCATTTCCAGGGCTCAAAAGCCACTCTTTGGTATCCATTTCTTCCCAATTCACTTCAAAACGAATCCTGCTCAAGGATGATGGGAGTCAGTGTCAACTCTGAATGGATGTTTCTCCATGAAATGGAATCTTAGGGTCCAGTTGATCCCAGGCACATGGGAAGGTGGCTTAAACATCCCTAAAGTGAAATCTGATTGGAAACAGTTTTTGGACAAGAGAGCTGGAATTCTCAGCACGAGACCCGGAATTGATTCCCCCCCCCCAAATAGAAACTGGACTATCTTGTTGTTTTTTCTTTGAAAACGTTTTGCTTCTCATCCAAGAAGCTTCAGTTCTAACCAACTGGTGGGAGACCGGAAGGAATTACACGAAGCTTCTTGGATGAGAAGTGAAACATTTTCAAGGGGGGGGGGGGAAACCCCAAAATGAATCTTGGATGAGAAGCAAAATGTTTCCAAAGAAAAAACAAGAAAGTCCAGTTGCCTTTTGGAGAAAGAAAAGGAAGGAAAGAAAGAAAAAGGGAAGAAAGAAAAAGGAAAGAAAGAAAGGAAAGACAGAAAGAAGAAAGAAAGAAAAGAAAGAGAAAGGAAAGAAAGAAAAAAAGAAAAAAGAGAGAAAGAAAAAGAAAGAAAAAAGGAAAGACAGAAGAAAGAAAGAAAAAGAAAAAGGAAGAAAGAAAAAGGAAAGAAAGAAGAAAGAAAGGAAAGAAAGAAGAAAAAAGAAAAAGAAAGAAAAAAAGAAAAAGGAAAGACAAAGAAAAAAGAAAGAAAGAAAAAAGAAAGAGAAAGAAAAGAAAGAAAGAAAAAGAAAAAGCACCTTTGGCACAACCATGACTTGGATGGTTGAGAATCTCCATAGAAGAAACCCGGAATTGTCAACGCGAGGGTCCCTCTATCCCTTGGCCAATCTATATTCCTCCCAGCGGAAGTCGTAGCTCTATGGCGCTTTTTTTAAAAAAGCCTCGCGGCTTCCTCACCGGAACCGGAAGTGGGGCGATGCGGGGTCGGCCCTGTGTTGCTCGGCGGCCGTTTTCGCTCGCCGCCATGCCGTCCGAGCAATTTCGGCTGCAGACCGTGGAGGCTCTGCGGAACACCCGCAAAGGGCGGCTGCGTTACTGCCGCGACTGGAGCCCGCTCGAGGAGGTGCGCCGCGGCCTGGCCCCCCTCTCTCTTCCCTCCGCCCGTCCCATCCCCTCCACGGGCTGGGGGACTACAACTCCCATCGGTCTCCACCCTGCAGGGCGGGAGCGTGATGGGAGTTGTGATTCCTCATCCCCACCCGTGGGGCGGGAGCCGGTATGGCTGGCTTCGAGCCCCCCCTCGCCGCGGGGAGGGATGCTGCTGGTGTCCTAGCTGGGGATGATGGGCAGGGTGGTCCAGCAGAGTGCTCCACCTTATCATTGCAAAAAGGAGGTGGGGGGGGGTTTCCTTGCAGCCCCCGCCCTCAATTTAGTGTCAGTTCTTTCTTCCCAGAACTGCTGGGAGTCAGGCAGGCTGCCTACAAATTTAATAAACAATATTTATTAATTTTATAATGAAATTATGTATGTTATAATGTAGATTGGTATAAATCAATATAAATTATATAAAAAAAATTAAGTGGTCGTCCTCGACTTAATGACCACAATTGAGCCTAACGTTTATGTTGTTAAGTGAATCATTTCCCCATTTTGCGACCTTTCTTGCCACAGAATCACTGCAGTTGTTAAGTGGATAAAACACGGTTGTTAAGTGAATCAATTTTCCCCATTGAGTTGGCTTGTCAAGAAGGTCTCAAAAGGGGATCACGTGACCCCCCCCGGGACACTGACCGTCATAAATACGAATCAATTGTCAAGCATCTGAATTTTGATCAGGGATGCTGCAACGGTCATAAGTGTGAAAATGGGTCGCTTTTTTTTCAGTGCTGTTGTAGCTTTGAGCAGCCACTAAATCAACAGCTAAATGTCGTAAGTCGAAGATTATCTGTCTTCCTGTGGTTTTTTTTTTAAAAAAAAAATTAGAATTAATTAGGTTTCGCAGAGGTGGCTCTTTTTCATATCGATTGGGTAAAACCAACCCTTTCCAGCCCACCAGAACGGCTAAAATTCCTTGTACTGAAATGCTAAAACAGCATTTTAGCAAGCCTGATTTGCAAGATGTATTTATTTCTTTCTTTAAATTATTTATCCTTAGTAAATAAAACGGCCTTCCTGGGAATGTAAGTCAGGAAGGCGTCTTCCGGCCTCTTATTCCGTTTATTGTTTGGGCTGTTTTCTCCTTGGAAACAAATTCAAATGTTTTCCCATCAAGATCGTCTCCCTTCCTTTCGACCATTTTGAATGGCTTCACCTCCTGGCGGGCGGTAAAAAGGAAGGTGTGGATTGAGGCGTGATTTGCAGCATGCGTTGCTATCTTATATCTCGTTTTGTTCTTTTCAGGGCATCTTGGAAGAGGATAAAGCTCTTCCGGTGTTGTCTCGCTGCACAGGTTGGGTGCTTGAAAAAATCATCTCCCATTCTCCAAAGTCAGATCTCTTGGCAAAATGCACTCCTGAAGGGGCGTCCCTTTTCCATGGTTTATCATTAGAGATCGATGCCTCTCCTGTCAATCAGGACAGCCCCCTGCCCTCGCTAACAGAAGCCCCAGCTGATGACCAGGTAATGCTTTACATATAACAGTTTTGTTTTTTTTATAGATAGATAGATAGATAGATAGATCGATAGATAGATAGATAGATAGATATAGATATATAGATATAGATATAAACTCAAGTACTTTGGCCACCTAATGAGAAGGAAGGACTCACTGGAGAAGGGCCTAATGCTGGGAAAGATTGAGGGCAATAGAAGAAGGGGACGACAGAGAATGAGATGGCTGGATGGAGTCACTGAAGCAGTAGGTGTGAACTTAAATGGACTCCAGAAGATGGTAGAGGACAGGAAGACCTGGAGGAACGTTGTCCATGGGGTCGCGATGGGTCAGACACGACTTCACAATTAACAACAACATAGATAGATAGATAGATAGATAGATAGATAGATAGATAGATAGATAGATAGATAGATAGATAGAGATACATATATAGATATATATAGAGAGATAGATAGAGATAGATATAGATAGATAGATAGATAGATAGATAGATAGATAGATAGATAGATAGATAGATAGATATACATATATCCTGTGTTTTCATAGCGCCCAGTTGTGAATTCAACCTCTCACTTGCTCTTGTTCTGTTTCTCCTGGGCCCGGAAGAAATGGAGAAGCACGGGGAGCAACCAGGAGCCCCTCACCCTGACCCCCCCGTCCAAAAGTACGGGAGTCGAAGGCCTCATTCATTTGCACAAGGAGATCCAGAAGCTGAAAGGGAAGGTGAGAGTCAAAGGCCCGGCTGGCGGGATTGGATGAGGGGGGTAGACGTTTGTTTAACTATACGGCCGTTGTCTTGAAAATGACCGGGAATATTTAGGATTAGGTGTTCGTGTATTGTCACCATAACTGGCCTAAGATGTTTCACTTGAGTGAAAGAACGAGGCAGATTTCCTTCCGAAATTGTGCTGCTGGCAACTGGTTAGGGGTCTCAGAGGGGTGTCAGTCGAATTGAGAGGGTCCTCTATAGATTGGTGCATACCCAGAGTTGTATGTGTCTTCTTGCTACTTCTTCCTTCTTCTTCCTACTTTCTTTCTTTCTTTTTTCTCCCCCTCTTCCCCTCTTTCCCTCCCTCCCCCCTCCTCTGCCTTCTTCTTCTTCTTCTTCTTCTTCTTCTTCTTCTTCTTCTTCTTCTTCTTCTTCTTCTTCTTCTTCTTCTTCTTCTTCTTCTTCTTCTTCTTCTTCTGTTTCTGCTTCTTCTTCTCCTTCTCCTCTTCCTCTTCTTCGTCTTCTTTCCCCCCCTCCTCCTCCTCCTCTTCTTCTTCTTCTTCTTCTTCTTCTTCTTCTTCTTCTTCTTCTTCTTCTTCTTCTCCCTTTCCACTATTCCTCCTTCTTCTCCTCATCCTCCTTCTGTTCTTCTCTTCCTCCTCCTCCTCTTCTTCTTCTCCTCCTCCTACTCTTTCTCCTCTTTTTCTTTATTTCTTCTTCTACCATTTCGGACGTCGAGCTCTGGCTCTTTCTGGCGGTCTCACCCATTGTTACTTGATGCTGTTGTAGTACGCCTTTGACGTTGTCTCTCCATCTTCTGCCTCTGCCTCGCGTTTTTTGGCCCACTCTTTTCGCCTCGGCCTCGTGCGCTATAGAATCCCAAGACATTTCTCTCCAGGTGAGCTCTGGAGCTCTTTGCTGTTTCCGTACGGAGTCTAAAGATTGGTCCTTGGGGCATTGCCATGACCGATAAAAGTTTGGCTAGAGAGAAATCCTGGGTGGAGGGCTCTCAAACCTCAGTATTTCCTCTCGGTTTCTAGCTGATTTGGGTAAGGACAGCCAACGGGTAGGGACAGGAAAGAAAATGCTGTGAGACCAGGAGCCTGTAGTTTCCCCTCCCGTTTTCCTGCAGGAGCAGCTGAAGCAACGCTTGGAACAGCAGGAACAGGCGGGGAAGGCCGCCTGCGAAGAGGCCAGCGAGTTGCTGAAGCGTTTCGATGAGCTGAAGGAGCTGAAGCAACATCAGGAGTACCAGCACCTTCAGCAAGAGATGGAGAACAGGTGAGCCTCCGGCAGCGTCTCCTGGGGGGGGGGAGAAACCGATGGAGACTTGATGGGCTCTGAGCTTATCGCGATCTCGGCGTGTGTGTGTGTAACGCGTCTTGTGTTTTTCATTCCAGCTCCAAAGAAGCTCAAGGCCAGCAAGAAAAGCTGAAGGAGGAACATCGGCGCAGAGCCAAGGTAAGGAAAGGAGCCAGGAGAATTGACCAAGCCAGGCAGGAGAAAAGAGGGTCTTGCAGTTCAGCCTTTGTGCCCCTAGCTAATCAGCATTAAGGCAGGGCTTTTCAACCTTTTCACCCACTGTACCACTTTTAGGATATGGCAACATCCGAGTACCACCAGTCGCCTAGCAAGGTGTCAAAAACTTGATGACCAAAAAAGAAAAAAGTGATAAAGTATAGGTAGTCCTCGACTTACAACAGTTCGCTTAGGGACTGTTCGAAGTTACAGTGGCCCTGAAAAAAGTGCCCCCCCCCCAAGCCACAACCGAGCAAGACACCTGCCTGCCCACCTGCCCGCGCTCTTCCTCCTGTCCGAGGTTTTCATTGTTGTGAGCACTTCTGTTGAGGATTGGCAGTGGGGTAGGGGGGTGTTTGGTTTTTATTCCCCCCGTCTGCTGGGTGGTTGCAGCAGGTTTTGATCGCTTCACATGACCCTGGGACACTGTGACCATCATAAATAAATATGAATCAGTTGCCAGGCATCTGAATATAAATCACAAGACCCTGGAGATGCTGCAACATTCCAGCTGATCGGCGCTTCTTCTGGGCTCAGCGGAAGCGCCAGGATCAGTGCTGCTTCCCAGCTGATTGGTGCTTCTTCTGGGCTCAGCGGGAGCGCCAGGATCAGCGCCGAGCTCCAGTTGGAGCCTGGTGCTGATCCTGGTGCTTCTGCTGTTTGCCATCACTGTTGCCTGTCAGTGTCGGTGTGAGTGGTCTTGGAGGTTCTTTGGTTGGGCTATTTATTGACAGGGTAAGCCACCACTGATGATGCTACCTAGCTGGGTCATGAAATGTCTGCAAGGAAAACAAGCCAAGCTCAGAGAGCACCAAGGACTCCACAGTCCTTCTCCTCCCTCCTCTTCTTCCTCCTCCTCCCCTTTCTCTCCTCCCTCCTCTTCTTCCTCTTCCTCCTCCTTCCTCCTCCCCTTTCTTTCCTCCCTCCTCTTCTTCCTCTTCCTCCTCCTTCCTCCTCCTTCCTCCTCCTCCCCCTTCTCTCCCTCCTCTTCTTCCTCTTTCTCCTCCTTCCTCCTCCTCCTCTCCTCCCTCCTTTTCCTCCTCGCTTTCTTTTCCTCCTCCTCCCTCCTCCTCCTCTCCACAAACCCCACTCCCTTCTAGTACTGATGATGTTACCTAGTTGGGTCCTGAAACGTCTGCAAGAAAGCAAGCCGGCTCAAGAGAGCCCCGAGGAGCCCACCGTCCAATGAGCTTTTGCCTTAACATTACATGGGCGTAGGTGAGACGGCGCCCGAGCTTTCGAGACGGCCTCGCCCTTTTCCCAAACGGAAACTCCCTTCTTCCCTCCCAAAGCTTTTGAGCCGGAAGCTCCGTGAGGCCGAGCAGCAGCGCCAGCGGCAGGAAGACCTGGAGCGCCAGCGGCGGGAGGAGAGCCAGGAGCGCCTGCGCCGCCTCTACGCCATCCAGGAGGAGGTCCTGCAGATCCACCAGCAAGTCGGCCTGGGCGCCCGGCAGAAAGAGCTGCCCACCCTCGATTTCTCGCTCTTCAACAACCGGGGCAATCAGCTCTGCGGGGAGGTGTCGGCCTTGGTCCGCGTGGCCAATGAGGTAAAAGCCCCCTTCTGGGTTCAAGAGAAGCAGCGTCAGCTGAGCTTCGCCTCATCTTTCCTGAGCCCTGGTGGCGCAGTGGTTAGAGTGTGGTACTGCAGGCTCCTTCTGCTGACTGCCGCCAGTTCGAGTCTCACTGGCTCAAAGTTGACTCGTCCTTCCATTCTTCTGAGGTTGGTAATTCTTAAGTGCTTATGCGCTCTCTCTCTCTCTCTCTCTCTCTCTCTCTCTCTCTCTCTGTCTCCATATATTTATATCTATATATGATCTATCTATCTATTTATCTATCTCTACATCACTATCTACCTCCCTCCCTCCATCTCTATTTACCTCCCTCTCTCATCTATCTATCTATCTATCTATCTATCTATCTATCTATCTATCTATCTATCTATCTCTACATCACTATCTACCTCCCTCCATCCATCCCTCTCTATTTACCTCCCTCTATCTATCTATCTATCTCTACATCACTATCTACCTCCCTCCATCCATCCCTCTCTATTTACCTCCCTCTCTCATCTATCTATCTATCTATCTATCTATCTATCTATCTATCTATCTATCTATCTATCTGTCTAATTGCCTATCTATCTCAATCCATCCATTCATCACTCATCTATCCATCCATCATCTATCATCTGTCTATTGCCATGGTGGCATCTGAAGGCAGGACAAGAAACAATGGTTGGAAACTGATCAAAGAGAGAAGCAACCTGGAATTAAGGAGAAACTTCCTAACAATGACAATTAACCAGTGGAACGGCTTGCCACCAGAAATCGTGGGTGTTCCATCACTGGAGATTTTTAAGAAAAGACTGGACAGTCACCTGTCTGAGACGGTATAGGTTCTCTTGCTCAAGCAGGAGGCTGGACTAGAAGACCTCCAAGGTCCCTTCCAGCTCTATTCTATTCTAATGTATGAGAGCCGATTCATAAACCTTTAGCTGAGGCCGGCACCCAAAGGGAGATTTGCATTTGATCAGTTGAATCATCTGGAAAGACAGATCAAGCTGGCTTCCTTCCAGAAACCGGGCAGATAAATCCCCAGAGTTTTTGTGTAAGCATCATAGTTGATATCTGAGTTTTTGTTTTGTTTTGTTTTGAAAAGCAGGCTTTCCCCACTGAGGCAGATGTGGCTTCCGCTGAGCACGTCCTGCTCAAAATGCACCAGCTCTTTTCCAATATGCAGCAAGAAATTGCTCTGGCCCTGGAACAGACGAAGGAGGAGGAGGAGAAGGTGGCTTTGGCTGCAGCTGCAGCCGCCGAGGCCCAAAAAACAGAGGAACTGCAGAAACAGGAGCTGGCAAAATCCCAGGCTTCAAATCCCGGAAATCTAGCTGGAGGTAAAACTCCGACATTCTATCAGTGTCTCTGCTTTTCTGGCATCCTTCTGTTGCGTGGGGTTATAGCCCCCATCATCCTCTCCATGGTGGTGGTTTTTCCGTAAATATTACTCCTCTTTCGAAGTCGCCTTTCTCCATCCGATGCTCTCTGGGACAGTGACTTTTAAGATTCCTGGTTATTTTGGACAGGATCAGTTTGGGAAAAGGGTAATTCCCTACAAAAAATTCCTATGCTTTTATTTCCACTCCAAGCTTTACGTTTCATACAAGCAGCGTCCGGTTGCAGAGAAAAATTCCCTCCTGATGCAGTGGCTCTTAATCCCCAATCCGTGGGGTGGTTTTGTCCAGCGTGCTCTGTAGTTCTTTTTATTATTATTATTATTATTATTATGGATCATCGCACAGTCAGCCAGATGTTCAGACTGGATTTGGCATTTTGTCTACCTATCGAGTCCTTACCCAGGACCTGGGATAGGCAGATGTGGATGTTTGATGGTATTACAGATATCGTCGCAGATGGAAGCAGTTCCTAGTAAGGCCGCCTTTTGCAATTGACTAATAGCGAATTTGTCAATGCCAATGGTGTTCAAGTGGTGCTCCAGTTGTTTTGGGATTGCACCCAAGGAGCCTGTGACTATTGGTACTACCCTTGCTTGCTTTTGCCACAGTCTTTCTATTTCTATTTGTAGGTCTTTGTATTTGGTTATCTTCTCCAGTTCTTTCTCGTTTATTCTGCTGTCTCCAGGCACTGCCACATCCACTATCCAGACTTTTTTGTCTTTCTTATCGACAATTGTTAAGTCTGGGGTGTTATGTTGCAGGTGCTTGTCTGTTTGAATTCTGAAGTCCCAGAGCAGTTTAATTTTATCATTTTCCATGATGATGATGATGATGATGATGATGATGATTATTTAAAGACATAGGGGAGACCCTGTGCTCTGCCTTCATGGTCCCATGGAAAAGATGGGGCGTATACTATCGTCTTTGGTGGACATGCCCTAAAACCAAAAGATTTTGCTCAAGAATACGTATGAGAATATGACTAAAAAACACCTAGGTTTTAAGCCAGATTTTTTTTTTGTTAGGTATAATTGTAAGAAATGATGAGAAGGACTGTGTATATTTAATGTTACATGTATGAACTGCAGCGGGAATTGTATTTGCTCAGCATTGGAAAGATGGAAGAATGGCCAGATCATTAAGAAAATTTTAGATGGTGCAGAAATGGACAGACCGACACTGAAAATGCAAGAGAAAGAAGATTCAGATTACTTTAGAACATGGGATGCATTTTATCGATGGCTAGAAAGACGAGGCAGAGAGAAAGGAATTTAACATGGATTAGTAAACTAAACCTTGGAACCCAGCCAATAGGTTGCTGATAAAATATTAAGGATTTGTGACCATAAAAAATTAATAAAATATTGAACAAAAAAAGAAAAGATGGGGTGTGAAGGTAAAAAAATAGCCATAATATGTGGTTGGGGTTGCCCCAAAGAAGAGGGAATCAAGCTATTCTCCAAAGCACTTAAAGGCAGGACAAGAAGCAACGGATGGAAACTCATCAAGCAGAGAAGCAACTTAGAATTAAGGAGAAACTTCCTGACAATTAGAACAATTAACCAGTGGAACAACCTGCCTCCAGAAGTGGTGAATGCTCCAACACTGGAAGCTTTTAAGAAGAGACTGGACAGCCATTTGTCTGAAATGGTATAGGGTTTCCTGCCTGAGCAGGAGGTTGGACTAGATGACCTCCAATGTCCCTTCCAACTTTATTATTGTTATTGTTATTAACAGACTTCTTCTGCTTCCTTTGTTCTTAAAATCTTTTAAATCATTTTAAAAAAATGTAAAACAATTGCAGCTCCCTCTTTCTGTCCTGCTAGTGGTAGCTCGTTGCGTTAGGCAAAAAAAAATCTATTGTTGGTTTTCACCTAGTGAGGAAAATAGAGAATCACAGGTGTAGTCCTTGACATAACGGCCACAATTGTTGCTAAGTGAGACATCTCTTAAGCGTATTTTGCAGCCCCTCTTGCCCCATTTGAATCGCTGCAGTTGTTAACAACACACTGGTTAAATGAATCTGATTTGGCTTTGCTTGTCTGAAGATCACAAAGGGGGGGTCACGTGACCCACCTCACCCCGGGATACAGCGACCGTCGTAAATATGAATTAGTTGCCAAGCAGTTGAATTTTGATCATGTGACCCTGGGGGATGCTACAAGGGTTGCAAATGTGAATAATAATAATAAAGTTGGAAGGGACCTTGGAGGTCATCCAGTCCAACATGCTCAGGCAGGAAATCCTATATCATTTCGGACAAATGGCCATCCAGTCTCCTCTTACAAACCTCCAGTGTTGGAGCATTCGCCGCTTCTGGAGGCAGGTGGTTCCACTGGTTAATTGTTCTGACTGTCAGGAAGTTTCTCCTTAGTTCTAGGTTGCTTCTCTCCTTGATGAGTTTCCACCCGTTGCTTCTTGTCCTGCCTTCAGGGGTTTTGGAGAATAGGTTGACTCCCTCTTCTTTGGGGCAGCCCCTGAGATATTGGAACACTGCTATCATGTCCCCCCTGGTCCTTCTCTTCGTTAAACTAGACATACTCAATTCCAGCAACCGTTCCTTATATGTTTTAGCCTCCAGTCCCCTGATCCTCTTTGTTGCTCTTCTCTGTCCTCTTTCTAGAGTCTCAACATCTTTTCTACAAAACTGGATGGTGAAAGTCACTTTTTTCAGTACTGTTGTAACTTCGAACAGTCACTAAACGAACAGTTGTAAATCAAGGGCTAGCTGAACTAGTTTCTGCTTTGCTGTCATGTCTCCAGGGCTTCAGGTAAAGGCAGACGCATCCATTATGAAGTGGTACCAGGAGCTACAGAAAGAATCCCAGCAGTGTGAGGCTTCCTTCAGCTGCTTGGCCAGCAGCAAAGGCACGCAGGTAAGAATATTCCTAGATCAGGCGTATCCAACCTTAGCAACCTTTAAGACTTGAGGACTACAATTCCCAGAATTCCCCAGCCAGCACTTGTACCACAACAGGAAGTTTGGAATCCTGCGCTAAGCTCGGCTTTTGAACGTTTCCCCCTTTTTTTTCCCTGCAGGAGAAAAAAATCAAAATGGAATTGCAGAAAGCTGCCACCATCCCTGTTAGCCAGATTTCTACCATCGCAGGTGAGCCCTAGTTCTGTTATTCCTTATAAAATGTCTGATCACAATATTAGCCGTTGATCAACTGCTAATCACTATTACACTTGTTTATCAACCCTGGTATTAACTGGGAGACAAACTCTGCAGCAAGTGGGAGATCGAACAGATTGCTAACCAACTTAGCTGACAACCTGTCACCCAAAAGGTAGAGGAAGGAACTAGAGAAAAAGCTGTAGTGGACCTAATTCTTACTAATAGAGAAGAAGTGATGGAGTTGAAGTTACCAGAACGTTAGGGGAAAGTGACCACATCGCATATTGGAATTCAATATAATGCAAACACAAGCAATAGAACATAACCCAGCCAGTGTCTTAAACTTTAAAAGAGCTGATTTTAACAAACTCAGAGAGAACGTAAGAAAAATCCCATGGATAAAAATCCTAAAGGGGAAAACAACTCAAGAAATGTGGGCAACACTGAAAAATATGATCATAAAAGCCCAGTCCAACACTATACCACTGAAAAAGAAAAACAAGAAATCCAAGAACGAACAAGCATGGTTGCACAAAGATCTCTGATAAACTGAAAGGCAAAAAGGACAAGTACAAAAACACATCACTAAGGCAGAGTATCAGCAGATAGCCCGAATCTGCAAAGATGAAGTCAGGAAAGCATAGGGCTCAGAATGAGCAAAGACTTGCAACAAAAGTCAAAAGATAATGAAAAAAAAGTTTCTTTCAACATAATAGCAAAAAAGTCAAGGAAAGTCCAATAAAGAGAGAAGATGGCAAGGAAGTAACAGGCAGTAGAGGGAAAGGAGAGCTCCTTAACTCATTCTTTGCATTAGTCTTCACGCAAAAAGAAACTATAGCTCAACCTACCAAAAACATGACTGTAAAAGACAAGACTACAAATAAAAATTAAAATAAGCAAGAAAATGGTCAGAGAACACCTGTCCGACCTTGATGAATATATGTCAGATATCATATATAACACGAAAACCCACGCTCATGGCCCAGCCGCTTGCTTTGGCTATCGTAACGTTACTTATTTCAAATGCCTAAACCTGGCTTCCTGCCCCAGCTGCTTCCCTCACTGGTATCTTTTTCTTCTGCTGGTCTTCACAGGTTCTCAGCTGAAGGAGATATTTGAAAAAATCAATAGCTTCCTTTCGGGAAAGTACGTGAAGTGCGGGGGCCACAAAGTATCTGTCACGCAGCATCCTGAAGGCCTGGAGTTTGTTTATTTCAAACTGGCTGAAAAGTTTGTGGTAAGAAGGTCATCTTGGCAAAAAAAAAAAAAGTTCTCCAGATGAAAAGGTGACTCTGCCCAGGTGGTCTTTTAAATCGTCATTTACCTCAGAGGCTTCTTTGAAGCTGTCTTGAAAAGAGCAATAGCGCTTAGACTTATAGACCGCTTCACAGTGCTTTACAGCCCTCTCTAAGCAGTTGACGGTCAGCATATTGGCCTCCAACCATCTAGGTCCTCATTTTACCGACCGAAGGATGGAAGGCCGAGTTAACTTTGAGCCAGTCGGGATCGAACTGCTGGCAGAGGGCAGAGTTAGTCTGCAATACTGCATTCTATCCTGTGCGCCACCAGAGTAAGTAGGTAGGTAGGTAGGTAGATAGATGATAGGTGGGTGGTGGGTGGGTGGGTGGGTGGGTTAGTGGATGGATGGATGGATGGATGGATGGATAAATAGATAGATAGATAGATAGATAGATAGATAGATAGATAGATGAAGAGATAGATAGAGACAGGCAGATAGATAGATAGATAGATAGATAGATAGATAGATAGATAGATAGATAGGACGGACAAATAGATAGCAATAGCACTTAGACTCATACACAGCTTCACAGTTCATTACAGCCCCCTCTAAGCTGTTTACAGAGTCAGCATCTTGCCCCCAACAATTTGGGTCCTCATTTTACTGACCTTGGAAGGATGGAAGGCTGAGTCAACCTTGAGCTGGTCGGGATTGAACTGCTGGTGGTCGGCAGAATTATATCCACTGCACCACTACAGCCCATAGATAGATAGACAGACCGACAGTAATTGCAATTGCACTGAGACTTATATACCGCTTTACGGTGCTTTACAGCCCTCTCTAAGCAGTTTACAGAGTCAACCTCTTGTCCCCAACAATCTGGGTCCTTGTTTTACTGACCTCGGAAGGATGGAAGGCTGAGTCAACCTTCGGCCGGTCAGGATCGAACTGCCAGCAGTTGGCAGAATTAGCCTGCAATGCTGCATTCTAACCCTTGCGCCACCACGGCTCAGTAAATAATCCAGTCAATAGAGGGAAGGAAATCTGGATAATTCTGACTGGAAAAAAGGCTGGGTTTATGTACCGCCCTGCCCTTAAAAGATGATTTACAAACGATGTTGAACCCACGTTTGGTGATGGGTGAACTTCTCTTCTTCCTTGGGGCAGTTAGAGCAGGCTAAAATATATCTTTTTGGTTTGTGTGTGTGTGGGTATTTTCCAGAAACAAGGCGAAGAAGAGGTAGCCTCTCACCACAAAGCTGCGTTCCCCATTGCCGTGGTGGCATCTGGTATCTGGGAGCTGCACCCCAAGGTGGGCACCCTCATCCTGGCTCACTTGCACAAAAAGTGTCCTTATGCTGTCCCCTTCTACCCTGCGATGAAGGAAGGCACCCCCCTGGCAGAGTATCAGAGGTGATTTAATTCAGTTGAGCATCCTGGGCGGTTGGGAAGCCGAGCGAGGCTGTACAGGGAGTCCTCAAATTCGCAGCAGTTCATTTAAGTCTGAGGTCCCCAACCTTTTGGGCACCAGGGACTGGTTACATAGAGAGAGGTTTTTCCACCAACCGGAGAGGGCGTGGTTTCGTGTACCCCCTGCATTCCACAGATGCATTAGAGAGCTGTGAACAGATTCAGTTTGTGGTGCTCAACAATCCAGCATTGATATGCTGGGTTAAAGCTGGATGTTGAGTTACGAGCGGTTCGTGTTAAGCTGGGACCCCAGGGCTCCCGATTCATCTCCCTCTTGGGCACGCTGGTCAGCCTCTCCACCTCTTCTTTAGGACCCTTGGCTACCAAGTGAAGGATGGGAAAGTAGAGCCTCAAGACAACTTTCTAAAACGGATGTCTGGAATGATCCGACTCTATGCGGCCATCCTGCAACTTCAGTGGCCGTATCAGGATAAGCAAGGAGTAAGTGGGTCTTCGGACATCCACACTTGGTTAACTGTTTTGGCAGCCTTTTTCACCTTCCCTGCAGTGGTGTCCTTTCTAACAGCCTCTGAATCTGCTCAGAAAACTTGTTGAGGCTGCTTCAGATGGAAGCCAAACTGTCACGGTTCCGACTGACGGACCCAAATAAGCAAACTTTCCGATCTCTTAATGTAAAGCTGTATTGACTACATCATTTCGGCACGCGTGAAAGCAAAACCATCTCTGACAAACCCCTATAGTTAAAGCATAGAATCCGCCCTCCCATCTTTGAACAGGTTACATTGGCCAATTAGGTGGAAATATATTGTTATGAGAAAAAGTCTCTGAGTGGGGCCAGGCATCTGGTGACTCGTCCTTGATTCTCAGGGTCTGCCTTCTTTATCTCGGTAGCCTACATTCCATTTCCCCATCTTCCCCCCAAGTTTGTTGGCCAGCTAAGAAACCATAATCGTTGCATCAGCAAAGCACCACCTATGAAAGAGAGCTTGAAAATAAAGTAGGGGTTTTGGTGAAAATAGAAGTAATTCAGGGAACTGTTCTTTCTTTTTGTCCGTTAGACTCATCCACACGGATTAAACCATGCCTGGCGTTGGCTGGCACAGATGTTGAACATGGAGCCTCTGGCAGATGTGACAGCAACCGTTCTGTTCGATTTCCTGGAGGTAAGTGGCCCTCCTTGACTGCCTGTGGTTCTTTCCTTCTCCTTGCAGTCCGCAAGTAACTATGATCTCCTATTAACGTGGCTGGGCAGTCTTAACTTGGATCAGTTTGAGGTAGATTGCAATCCTCTCTTCTGACAGCACGGCTTGACATTCTTCTGTTTTGTGTGCCTCAGGTGTGTGGGAATGCGCTCATGAAGCAGTACCAGGTGCAATTTTGGAAGTTGCTTCTCCTGATCCAGGAAGAATATTTTCCCAGGTACGGCGTGCAATTGGGCGGCAGTCTGAAACGCACACGCTTCCCTCTGCATTTTTTCCAGTGGTAAGGGAGAGGTTGTCAAACAGTTTTGTTTGTTTGTTTGTTTGCTTTTTTTCCCTGCTCGCTCAATTACAAATCCTTGAGTAAGCTGGGACAGAGCATTCCCCCTGGGAAGAGTTGTGAGTTTCAAAAGTTCTTTGTCAGTCTTCTTCTCAGTCCCGATGATTGGCCAAGCCAGGAGAGGACAGAGTAAATCAATATTAAGAGTTCAATCTTTGAATATTGGAATCTTCTCCCCTCCAGGATTGAAGCAATTACCAACCCCGGGGAAATGGGCTCCCTCATACGATTCAAGCAGTTTTTAAAGGTGAGTTGATGTTCTCTCAATCTAGGTGTTCAGCTAAGACAAGGGCGGCTGAGTTGGGCTGGTTGTTTTTTGTTTTTTCCCTCCTTCGGTTGTCCCCAATCCTCAGCCTTTTAGGCACTCAGCTCTCTGCTTCCTCAACTGTTAGGAAGCTCCAGAGCACACAACTTCCAAACTCTCCTGCTTGTAAGAATGTTGTCGACTGATACGAGGTTCCCTTGTCAATCAGGAGTGTCTAGTTCTGATGTTGTTACCTGGTTTGGATGATACAACATCTATAAGAAAACAAGCCAGCTCAGAGAGCACTAAGGACCCCACAGTCGTCGTCGTCCTCCTCCTCCTCCTCCTCCTCCTCCTCCTCCTCCTCCTCCTCCTCCTCCTCCTCCTCCTCCTCCTCCTCCTCCTCCTCCTCCTCCCCACTCCCTTCTAGCACTGATGATGTTACCTAGTTTGGATAACGCAACATCTGCAAGAAAACAAGCTCAGAAAGCACTAAGGACTCCACAGTCCTCCTCCTCCACCTCTTCTCTGCAAAGTCCATTCCCTTCTAGCACTGATGATGTTACCTAGTTAGGTAATGAAACGTCTGCAAGAAAACATCCAAGGTCAGAAAGCACAAGGAACCCACAGTCGTTGTCCTCCTCCTCCTCTTCGTCTTCCTCCTCCTCCTCCCTTCTAGCACTGATGATGTTACCTAGTTAGGTAATGAAACGTCTGCAAGAAAACATCCGGTCAGAGAGCACCAAGGAACCCATAGTCGTTCTCCTCCTCCTCCTCCTCTTCCTCCTCCTCCAATTAAGAATGTGATGGAAGCAACCTTCAGAGTAGCAGCAGAGTCATCCTTACACACACACACACACAACCACCACCTTCTCTGTGGAGCCTTTCGTAGTCTCCATCCTCATCCGCCTTGCTATTTTTTTGCCAGACCTCTCCGTTCTCTCTCATCTTTCTGCTCTCGTCCCTTCCCGAGGCACACCGAGAATGTCCCCATTTGCTCCGGCTATTCTCCGAATCCATATCAGTCTCCCTCACTTCCCCCATCACAAACACAGTGCACAGTAGCTTTTTTTTTTTTGCAGCCTCATCACTGTACTGTCAGCGTTTGCATTGTACTGTCAGGTTACGCATCCAGAGAGGGATGTCGGGGGTTGGAACGTCTTGCCTTTAAAATCATCTTTTCTTCTCTTCCCAGGAATGCTTACAACGAAAAAACATTCCTCTCCCCAAAGGCTATTTGTCACCCTCTTTTTGGAAATCCTGAGGGTCGGATCCCCTGGCACTTTTACAGAAGGTGAAAAAAAAAAATAGCTTGCTTCGGGTTTTTTTTTGTGTGTGTGTGTGTGTTATAAAAAAAGTCTATAAGCTGATTTTTTGAAAAAAAACAACGTTTGGATTCTCTGCAGAATCTGGAAATGGCTCGTCCGCTTTACGAGATTGTCGAAGACAATCTGATATGTTGGGCCAGTCTTTGCCCTCGCAAATGAGGGAGGCTTTTGTGCACATGGGTGTGTCCTTCTGTTTTCCTGCCGTGCCATACCCATCCTCCTTAAGATACAGAAACAAATTGGTTTACGTGTCCTTGAGGGACTCCCCTGTTTATTAACTCCAGAAGTTTAACACACACCCCAAAAAAACACACCCCACACCTCAGTGTCTCAACCACTGCGGTTGAATTAGAAGAGAGTCTAATTCTTAATTAAAGCACTGCAGTCCTTTGCAAGCAAAAGCCGTGGCTGACTGCCTCTCGTTTTGAAAAAAATCAGGCAGAGTGGAAAAACCTTTGAGCTCATCCAAGCAATGCTGAAAGAACATGAATTGATTTGTGGCCTTCTTTTTCTTAAAAAGAAAGAGAGCGAGAGAGAGAAGAAAGACAAGAAAAAAGAAAGAAAAGGTTTTAAAGAGCTTAGCATTTAGTCGAAGTAACATTCCCCCCCCCCCCAAATAGAACCATGAATGGGAAAAGGAAAACGTTCCCGCTGGCTGTTTTAATTTTCGTGAAATCAAGGGAAACTGCTTCAAATCCGTCTGGAAGCAACGGTTTTCTGCCTCTTGGATCCAAGCCGATAATGAACAATAGGACTGTGGGATTTTCGCTTCTGCTATTTACAAGCAGTGGGTGGAAAACGAAGAGGAATTTGTATTTTTGTGTGTCGGTGCTAAACAGTAAAGTATTTCTGATAACTTATATATTTTTCGTACGATATGATCCAGCTTGCTGGTAGAGTGGGACATTTACGACAGCAATTGTGTTAGCTCAATCAAGCATGAAGCGTTGAGCTTTTGGTGTCCATTTGCTACAGTGATCATTTTACAATGATAAAAGATAATAAACCTTTGGAAGAAACTGCCTGGAATGTCATTAGAGCTCAAAGGAGCTTTATTTTAAAGGCTGTCATCGAGTAACTTATTTTTAATGTTTGCGCGTGCCTGTTTTCAAAGTAAAGACATTGGAATTTCTAATCTCAGGGTGTTTTTTTTTTTTTACGGCTTTTGCTTTGGTCTCTTTCTTATTGGTTTACTTTAAAGATGGAACTCATAAGGTGGCCTTCATACAGTGCTGAATTCCAGAGAGGGAGGATAAGAACAATTTTCATCTTAAAGAATTGCTAAAGAAAATTCTTTAGATCAAGCTTTTGGGCAGCAGGGACCATTTCCATGCAGTTTTGGTTACCACGTTACAAAAAAGACGTTGAGACTTTGGAAAAAGTACAAAGAAGAGCAACTAAGATGGTTAAAGGCCTGGAGACCAAAACATACGAAGAACGGTTGCAGGATTCGGAAATGGCCAGTCTAGAGAAAAGAAGGACTAGGGGGGACATGATGAGCAGTATTCCAGTATCTGAGGGGCTGCCACAAAGAAGAGGGGAGTCAACCTATTCTCCATAGCACCAGAAAGCAAGACAAGGAACAATGGATGGAAACTAATCAAGGAGAGAAGCAACCTGGAACTAAGGAGGAATTTCCTAACGATTAACCAGTGGAACGACTTGCCTCCAGAAGTTGTGGCTGCTTCATCACGGGAGGTTTTTAAGAAGAGACTGGCCAGCAATTTGTCTGAAATGGTATATAGACCAGCGGTTCTCAACCTGTGGGTCGGGACCCCATTTGGGGTCGAACGACCATTTCATGGGGGTCGCCAAACAACGCAGTCCGCCATTTTTTCCCCCCCTTTTCCTTAGCTGTGCTACTCCCTTTTATTCTATTGGCTTTTGAAAGCCAATAGAATAGACTCTCTTGAATAGAGTCTAATTCTATTGGCTTTCAAAAGCCAATAGGAATTGTCCAGGCTGTCTCTGCCCTGCTGAGCCCGCCAAAAGTCCCATTCTGCAAACGGTGCTGCACCCGTTGAGTCGTCCTCGACTTACGACCGGTTGAGTAGTCCTCGACTTACGACCAGTTGGGGGTCGTGGCATTAAAAAGGTTGAGAACTACTGGATTAGAGTCTCCTGCTTGAGCAGGGGGTTGGACTAGATGACCTCCAAGGTCCCTTGCGACTCTATTCTAATTGATTGAGAAAGGTTTTCTCGCGGATAGGAAGGGCATGGTACAATAATATTATAATAATAATAATAGAGTTGGAAGGGACCTTGGAGGTCTTCTAGTCCAACCCCCTGCTCAGGCAGGAAACCCTACACCATTTCAGACAAATGGCTGTCCAGTCTCTTCTTAAAAACTTCCAGTGTTGGAGCATTCACAGCTTCTGGAGGCAGGTGTTGCGTGCTACCTGCATCCTGTGGAGATGGCTTTGTTTGTTTGCACGGCCCGGTGCCAGTCCAGGGGTTGGGGGACCCCCTACTTTAGACCACACCGGGGAAATGACTCGGATCTTTCAAAAGCCTTGCAGTGACTTGCATGCGTTTAGCCCACGTCCACATGTTTCTGGGAATGTGTCCTTTGGAGAAGGCTCCTGTACGATTGTCACACCTCTGCAAACCGATGGATTTAGTGCGTCAGTAGCTATATAGAGTGTGATACTTAACTCAGCAATCCTTGGCCTCTCCAGTCTCAAAGGAATATTGTTATTCGGCATTTTGTTGCATCCAAAGATTGCTGGGATAAGGATACCCCACCTTTGTGTCCAGCACCAGGCAGGGCCGGAGGAAGCGTCCTTTCCACATCTGAATTGTGAAAAGTCATGTTCCTTTTAGACAATGCTGGTGTTGTTGCAGTCTCCTGGCTATGTGTACTGCTGCTACTGTAGTTTAAAACCCTGCAACTTGTCGTTTCTTTTAAAGAGAGAGACAGACAGACGACAGACAAATAGATTAGATGAAATAGATAGCAGGTAGATAATGGATAGATAATAGAGACAGAGACAGTCACAGATAGATGAGAGATAGCAGATAGATAATAGATAGATAGATAGATAGATAGATAGATAGATAGATAGATAGATAGATAGATAGATAGATTAGAGCAAATAGACATAATGGATAGGTAGCAGATAGATGGATGATAGATAATAGATGTAGATAGATAGATAATAGATTAGATAGATAGATAGATAGATAGATAGAGATAGATAGATAGATAGATAGATAGATAGATAGATAGATAGATAGATATTGGCTCCAGAGAACGAAGGAAGCAAAGCTTGGCTCCAGTTACCTGGCATCTGTTCCAAGTTGATGTCAAAGATTAATTGAACGATTTTGATTTGAACAGTTAGGTGGAGAAAATTAGGGAGTGGCAGCTCGCAATTGGGACAGAGGCAAAATCCACTGGATAGAAAAAGCTGCTCTTTTTTGGGAGGGGGGAGAGGAACTTGTGCAGATTGGCTTGGAAGAAACTCTGCATAGACTCGGGCATTTAATCCTATCTTGAAAGGCTGTAGTTGAGAATATAGTAAGTAAAAGACCAATCTAACCTCTCCATTTGAAGAGCTGGACTAGGAGAAGAGCTGGTGTAGAATTCCTATTTGTTTATGCTGTTTGGTCCCGTGACTGTGCTCAGTTTAACCTCTTTGAGAGGATAAAAGACAAAACACACAAACAAACAAAAACCCCATGTCTGATTAGCCAAGATCAGTGCAGTCATGAGATGTCTGAAATGGTATAGGCTTTCCTGTCTGAGCAGGAGGTTGGACTAGAAAACCTCCAAGGTCCCTTCCAACTATTCTATTCTATTCTTTCTAATTATTCTGTTCTGTTCTATTATTCTCTTCTCTTCTCTGTTCTGTTATTATTCTATTCTATTTTCTATTCTGTTCTCTATTCTATTCTATTCTTTATTTTCTATTCTCTTTTCTATTCTGTTTTTTATTCTATATTCTATCCTATCCTATCCCAGACTTAAGCCTTTCATCACTAGTTGCATCCTTGGTACATGCAAAAATTAAGTCCAAGTATTATCTGAAGGTCTTATTTCAGTATCAAACTTGTGTGAGATTGATCAGCAAAAGCACAGTCATGGAGCAAAATGGGGTGCTCGTCATTTCTTGACTTTGGAATGCTGAAAAGGAATGAACTGAAATGTATTACATCTCCAATGAGATCCTACCCCCGTGTGGATTGAAGTGGGTGCAGAAAACTTGGGGGAAAAAAATCTATTTTTCTGTTGGTTTCAGGAGGACTCGGCTTATATAGGTTCCCTCCCCCCAAAAAATCCCAAATTAATGCAAAATTCAATGCACCGTCCAAAGGTGGGATCTTTTAGACATGCTGTAGGACAGCACCCATCACTGTCAGGGCGGTAGACATCCGAATAGGCTAAAGTTTTTCTTCTTCTGGCTGAGCAACACAATAAATCGACGTGGATTTGTGGAAACAACCGCTTTGCACTCCGCATTAAGAACAAACATTTGCCCTTGAAGCTTTCGGCTCTTTCCGGCCCCGTTCGGGTGCCCTCGGCTGCTGGCATTCCTTTGGCTCGGGTTTTTCCGCCGCCCCAGCTCCGCCTCGGCGCGCTTCGGCTGCTGCGGCCGGCTCTGCGGCGATGACGTCATCTCGGGCCACCTTATAAATAGGGGCGTCGGCGCCGGCGGAGCCCAGTCGGTGTCTGAGGGGTCTGAGAGGAGGGGTACGTCCACGCGTGGCGGACTGAGGAGAGGCGCGGGGGGTCCCCCTTCGAACCGACCCGGTGAGGATGAGGAGGGAGCGAGGGGGGACGCGGAAGGGCGGCCGGGGGAACGGGCAGCCCCGTGAGGGGGTCCGCGGGGCGAAAAGATGGGCGAGGCCTCGGAGCGCCCTCTCTAGGCGCCCTGGCCGCGCGCGCGCGCTCCCTCTGCGCCTGCGCGGGTGGACAGGTAAGGTGCTTTAGGTGTGCAAAGCATCCGATATATTGCATTGCAGCCGTCTTGCAGCCTGGCTCCTCTCCAGGGGGCTCCAGGCCAGCTTCCCTTGGCAGGGGATGATGGGCTTTGGGATCTAGAGTATCCGAAGCCTGGGGAAGCTTGAATTTCACCCAGCCTTCTGCATTCAGAAATGGAAGGGGGAAAACGTCCTATCTTTGTATATTAAAGACTTCTTTCGTGGGTTGGGTGTGGGTGTGTTAGGTGTACGTGTTGCACACCCAGCTGGGTTTGCTTCAACCATGACTGACTAACCCACCGTTGTGGAAAAACCCAATGAAAAAGACAAGAGACAGCAACACAAAACGATTCATTAAGATTCAGAGGAATCTTAAAAGTAAGGATTTGCCATCTCTGGTCTTTTTCATTGGGTTTTTCCACGACACTACCATGCCTGGTATTAAAATCACGGCATACCATTTTATTCCTCTGATTTCATTCAGTTCAAATGTGCAGGGTTGATTTCACACGTCCAGTTAAACCCAAACTTTTGAGTACGTTCAAGTGCCCTCTGTAAGGCCTAGCTAGTAGACTATGCAAAGAAACAAGCATTTAGTAGTAAATATATATTTTTAAGCCAATATGCCTTCAGTGAGCGGCTTTGAATGCAGCGGGGGGGAGGGGCTTTCTGTACGTGAGAGGGTTGTGTAGCTGCAGCATCCTGAGAATTTTGGCTTTGGAGCAAGGCATAATTTGAATTTGTGGCGATCGGATTACAGGTCGATTGGAATGATGAGTACATACTTCAGCCTTGGGAGTAAGGTTTTCTAGACTTGCCTCTGAAGAGGTAGGAGGGGCACAGGATTCCTGATCTTGGCATATAATTCAGCGTAATCCTAATAAGTTTGTATTGATTGCATTGAAGCATTGTTGAGAGACGTCTTCCAAATGTGTGGAGGAAACAATCTTTCCATTTAAAAAAAAATATTTTATAGAAAGGAGCAGAGAGAAAAGTAGCTATTTAAATGTTTTTATTTCCATGTAACAATTCTTGAGAGGAAATTGACAAAAGGGGCCAAATTGCAGGTCTGGTTATTTCCTTGTATCCATCTCTTTCGTTTTTTCAATATGTTGCTATTTCCACAATTGTAGAGTTTTCTTGCATTGTTGTCTTCCAGAGAATTGTCTCCTTGTATGAATTCATTTAATTTGGCATAGTCTGCTTAAAAAC